ATCGATTAGTTGTTAATCGAGTAATTAAAAAATGGGACATCTCTGATTTTGGTGTGATTGTTTTGATAAAAATGAGCGCAAAATTTCATCTCTATCGAGGGGGCAGCAAAACCACAGAATTACCTTGAATACGAGGGGTATTCATTGGATGGAAGGGACCGTGCAAGAGAACACTAAAATAGAAAATTTTTCTTCCGACAGTTTCATCACAAACGAAGTGACAGACGACTAACTGGCGAAGAAATCCATTTAAATAATGTGGTTCACTGTAATAGAATTTTCTTGGAAGCTTGTGCCATCATCCACCAGATGGGTTAGTTTTTTTGTTTTGATTTGAACAAAGTTGATTTTGTGTACAATGATTCTTTGACAGTGTGCAAAGAGTGCGTATCATTTTGTCATTTTTTTTATGCATTTCAGTTTTGAGTAGAGTGAAAGAGATAGAACCAAAACATTCTAGTACATTTGATGAAAATGCTAGTTCAATCTAGTAGTAGTGTTGCCATGTGGTACAATCCAGTAGTAGTGGTGTTGCCATGTGGCACACTGAAAAATTGCAATAGCAGGTTAGTCACCAAAGTTTTCGAGCCGCTCCGTCTGTCACTTCGTTTGTGGTTTCATCTTAGTATTCATCTTTGTATGAAGTATGTGTCTGGCACAAAAATAGCATTTGTTCATCACATTGCAAAAATTCATGTGTGGGGCACATAAAAACAATCTTTGAGTTTATTTCAGTGTAGGTACGGGAGACCAGCGCAATGGAGGAAACGACTACTTCAGTGCAGCAGAGGATGGAACTGACCCAACTCCCACGCTGAGGGAAGTTAAGGATGCCATTCAGCAGCTCAAAGCAGCTGGTAAGGATGGTATCGCAGCCGAACTCATCAAGATGGGCCCAGAAAAGTTGGCCATATTTGGCCCGTTGCACCGGATGATAGTCAGGATCTGGGAAACAGAACAGTTACCGGAGGAGTGGAAGAAAGGGGTAATCGGCCCCATTCACAAGAAAGGCGACCATTTGGAAAGTGAGAACTTCAGAGCGATCACCATTTTGAATGCCGCCTACAAAGTGCTATCCCAGATCATCTTCCGTCGTCTATCACCTAAAATGATCGAGATCGTGGGAAGTTATCAAGCCGGCTTCATTGACGGCCGATCGACAACGGACCAGATCTTCACCGTACGGCAAATCCTCCAGAAATGCCGTGAATACCGACCGCACAGAGCTATGGAAAATCATGGACGAGAACCGCTTTCCTGGGAAGCTGATCAGACTGATAAAAGCAACGATGGACGGTGTGCAAACCTGCGTAAGGGTTTCGGGTTAACTATCCAGTTCATTCGAATCTCGCCGGGGACTGCGACAAGGTGACGGACTCTTCAACATCGCTCTAGAAGGTGTAATGCGACGAGCCGGGCTCAACAGCCGGGGTACGATTTTCACGAAATCTGGTCAATTTGTGTGCTTTGCGGACGACATGGACATTAGCGCAAGAACATTTGGAACGGTGGCAGAACTATACACCCGCCTGAAACATGAAGCAGCAAAGGTCGGACTGGTGGTGAGTGCGTCAAAAACAAAGTACATGCTAGTATGCGGAACCGAACATGACAGGATTCGTCTAGGAAGTAATGTCACGATAGACGGGGATACTTTCGAGGTAGTGGAGGAATTCGTTTACCTTGGATCCTTACTGACGGCTGACAACAATGTGAGTCGTTAAATACGAAGGCGCATCATCAGTGGAAGTCGTGCCTACTACGCTGATAAGACCGGTGGTCCTCTATGGACACGAGACATGGACTATGCTCGAGGAGGACCTGCAAGCACTCGGAGTTTTCGAGCGACGTGTGCTAAGGACGATCTTCGGTGGTGTGCAGGAGAACGGTGAGTGGCGGCGAAGAATAAACCACGAGCTCGCTGCACTCTACGGCGAACCCAGCATCCAGAAGGTGGCCAAAGCTGGAAGGATGCGGTGGGCAGGGCATGTTGCAAGAATGCCGGACAACAACCCTGCAAAGTTGGTGTTTGCTACTGATCCGGTTGGCACAAGAAGGCGTGGAGCGCAGAGAGCACGATGGGCGGACCAGGTAGAGCGTGATCTATGTCTTATCTCAAATGTGATGTTGTACAAATAAATGTATGTAGGGTTACGGTATGTAATGTGGGTCTAGTCCTTTCATTCGGCCTATCACGCAAATAAATAATTAATTAAGGAATATTACACAAAAAATAAGGAAAATATTGATCACTGATGGTTGATAAATGTGTACCACACACAAATCAATTTATATCACAACATTTCAATACATTTTCAGCTCTCGTAAGTAATAAAACTGGTTGAGAATATCACAATGTTCGGAGTTTTTAGCCGCCATGACTTATAAGGTTAAGATGGGAAGGTTGACTGACGATCATCAAATGGCCTGATTATGGCATTTATTGATTGGAATTACCTGATAATACACACTAGACGTAAAACTTACAGTTGCTGTTTGAATATTTTATGTTTATTTTAATTGTTTAACAACGTTTTCACAAGTAAAACATGGACCCAACTTTAGGGACACATTTCTTTTCTATGTTCCTAACTATGGCCCATGAAATTCATTTGACAGCATATAGCAATAAGAGTAACGTCAACAATGTTGTTTTGCATTTGGATGATAAGGAACGAACAGGAAGGGAGATTTTTTCTGCCAAACCTGTATAATGAACATCACAATGTTCTGATTTAGATATTCTGCGGTCAAAAGACGATAAGCGAAATTTTTAATTTTTAATTTTTAAATTGAGTGATTTAATGTAGTTTTCGTAAAATTTTCTCTAAGAAATGTTTTGAGGAATGAAGAGCATTAAGTTAACAGTGATAGTGATAAAAAAAAATACATCAGAAAACGTTACCAAGAGCGTTTTTTTGAGGATCAAACAAGATAGGACGAAGTTGCATCCATAAATAGACCCAATTTGGGGACAATAGACCCATATTACATACATTTCCCTCGTGAGTTATTGTCTTAAAAAAAGTAAGTTTTTCAACTTTTCGTGGTTTCTGATAGCAAACGACATGATAAGCATATCTAAGCATACCATTTAGCAGTAGAATATCGTTTGCAGGTAAATTCATTGATGAGTTATGATTAAAAACGTAATCGATGGCTGCATATTAGACCGAGGTTAGGGACGTATACCCTATGTACCTAACATTATAGAGCAAAATCAAAAATAGGCGTTTGTTCAGAACTCCAAAATAAGGGTTTTGGCTCGGGTTTTGGCCAAGTTTGGCTCAAATCGGTGACATCGAACAATAAATTAAGGCTGGTAAGTTGCTGTAGTAGCTGGAGCACCTAGATTAAAATGAAATGTAGGGGCTTATTATGGATGTCACTTCACGGTGAAAACTTGTCACTTGTCGTCACGGTGAAGTGATTCCCATTTGATTTGTACGGCAATCACGGCTCTTATTCTGAGTATCACTCCCTAATCACCGTGTAGTGACACCCGTAATAAGGCTTGAATTTGAAACAAATATAGCTACGAAAAAAAAGTCGAACTAGAAGCTGATACGCTGAAAACGAGATGCCCAAATTCATCAGGATGCTGAAAGTTGTCAGTACAATTGTCAATGAGATATTAATAACACATTTTTGCAAATACACTTCGTGTTAAAAAAAAAACTAAAAAAGTTGTCGGAAAAATTTACCACTGTCCACAGGTTCATTCGATTGTTTCTTTTGTTCTATTGTTACAAAACACTGTGTGTTCATTTTTTATGTATATTTAATATAATCTGAATGATGCTTATTCGATTAACTATTTACAATGGTCACTTTTTTTTACATAACTGGTTTTTCCATTTTAGATAAATTACTGTTTCAATTTTCAGCTTAAACTAAAACATGAAATTGCTCAACTGTCAAAAACGTTTCCTAATATTTTCGATTCATACCGTTTGGATGGAGGAAAAAAACGATTCCCTAAAAAAAAAAATATCATCTATGAACTATTGAATCGAAACAACACAGTATATGTTACAATTTTCGCGTGCTAAAATCTAAAAAATACAAAATAAAAAAATACTCAGAGTATCACATTTTTTTTGTTCATATTTAACTAAATATAAATATATTAAAATCTTATTTCGTTCGCACATGTTTGCACAAACATAGCCTAAATGCGCGAAATGATGCATGCGTACGAAGAAAAAACAAAATTGATGGATTGTTTGATGATACTGACAAACTATAGTTAATTTATTGCTTCTCCTGGAAAGGTGGGTGACACAAACTAAGAATACGTCATTGTATTGCCCGTTGCAAGTTTGTCTGTCATATTATAAATACTTCACGAGTATTTTCGTTCGAGATTCTTGAGCAATTAGACACTATTGAATATAATTAAAAAAAAACACATCGTTCGCGTCACAGTTTTGGAACTCTGGCGTGAACGGTCAAGAATACTTGCGCATTTGTAAACCTGATCTGCTCTTGAATTAAGGTCGTAGTTGGTAAACGTAAAAGTACTTGCTATTCACTAAAATTGTCATTAATGTAATGAAAGATGGATGAGTGTGCGAAAATGGAGCCAAATTTTCGGCTTCTGATTGTAACGCTGGCTTGCAGTCAAAATAACACACCTAAAACATGTGCGGGCGTTCATTCATACAACCGTACTCGCATGCAATCACACTTTTATTCTTAGCCTAGTCAATCGAGCTAGGCTCGACTCAATTGGAACGTGCCTAATCAATGTCGACAAAAAAAAAACAATCATCTACTGGAAGAACTTTCCTATTAACAAGCGAAACTAAATCTACCTAGCTAATTTTGATCGGTCGTTCGCGCGCCTGCAGCTAAAAATTTGGCCACCAATTTCCGCAGTTTCATCTTGTAAAACGAGAAATTGGAAAATGTTTGTTCGCGTACATGATGGATTGTGGCAAATCGCCTCCCAGGTGTTTCTAAGGCATCCAGGTCTGGGATAGCACTTTGATTTGCGATTTGTTGTATTTCTTTAAAGGTAAATTGTTTAACTTCCCTGCTTATCGCACCTTGCAGTGCAGAATGGGCACACGTTTCAGAGTAAGGCCTCAACTTGAACCAAATGTGGTATGCTGGCTGGGGATGGTTTGTGCTAGGCACACAGTCTCTCACAAATGTTCCTAATCGTTATCGCCGCCAAATTCGTCTTTTGCATATTGTTTGCGGTACCACTATTAATACCTACATGCATTGGCAAAGCTCGGCGGCAGCACTTCGTTTTCAATCACACTCTCTTTCTCTCTCTTTCTCACATCAACTATATCTTCCTAAGGCTTGAATGTCTTCAACTGTGGAGTCTGTTGGAAAAAGAAAATCTTATTGCGATGACCTGTGTCGATTATCCGGGTTTGTGGTGTGTGTGTGTGTGTTATTCGGTTTAGATGGATGCTATCGTTATTATTGCTCTCGAATTAAATCGCCTCGATGTACCAGTCTGACGATTGAGGTTTGTTTGCGTGCTTGAAAGCATGTTTATATGGCATTATAGAGGTTACGGATGATACATTCCAACCAAATCTAGTACTTGATGGTTGATTCGGATATAGAGAATTATTAACATACAGATAAAGACGACATTCATCCCTGTACCTTTCTTTAGTTGAAGAAGTAAAACTAGTCCACAGGCAGAAGAAGATGATAGAATTTTGCGATTCAACTGGGTAATGCCGTTTTAGGTGGCGATATAAATATTTTTGCGTGATCGATTTGTTTCTGAAAGTAGTACCGGAAAAGTGGGGGTTGCGTACTAGCAGCGGTTATTTATCCCAATCACCGAAAGCAGTCTCTATTATCAAATATACGTCTTTTTCACCTTCTGCAGCGTGCCCATGCCTTTACTGATGTCCTTCTCCAGATTCTCCGTCGAGTTCTTGCATTCGACGCTTCGATCTTTGAAATCAAAGTCGATATTGTCCTTCATATTGTTCTGATGGTGCTGCTGCAGCTGCTGGACGATAGCCTGCTGCTGCGTGTGGTACTGATTGCCGGTGTTTGTGTTTGTGTTCGTGTTCATCAGTAGATTCACGTCTTTCCCGCTGGTGCGGTTCTGCGAAAGCATGCTCAAGTTCTTGGTGTGGTGCCTGCGGGAGATACAGAAAATGCAACGAAATGGATAGTTAGAATCAATAACACCTCTGCTATTGCTAAAGCACATACCAATTCAGCTGATTTCGATGCTCACTGCCGTGAAAGGACTGCTTCTTGATGACCTGTCGAGTGATGCAAAAACCAAGCAATATGCCGATGATGACCGAAAATACCACCAGCATGATGCTTATCTGCCAGTTTAATGCTGCCATGGAGACGCTTTCCTTAACGAGCGGATCTGTAGCAAATGGAAAATGGTGAAAAAGACATTACTATTAGCATAAATATTGAAGCTTCTAAAATTAATGTAATTAATGTGTGGAGAACGAGCCAAGAGCGAGGGGATTTTAAACACAAGATTAATATGAGCTTAGGTAAATGGAAGCAGATGGAAACCACGCTTCTGCAATTTCCGCACATTTAAAATAAAAAAAATAATAGGAGAAATGGATGCAATGTCGGCCCAAATGCCCCTAATTTGGGCCCATGCATAAACTCAGCAATCGACTAAAATTTCAATAGCGACCAAAAATATCCATTAGTACCGTCGTCATCTAGATAAAATTGATAAATAGCAGATTTTTTGCGATGGACCCAATCTTAGATCCATAGGCCAACATTAGAGCCATTTCCCCTAAATATTTTTTAAAGCTTTTACGCTGTTAGGCAAAATAATGTGCCCACGTCATCATTTTTAATTGCTCTCATTTATTTGATTCAAATTAAAGTAAACACACTGTAGTCTTTTTTGATATCTTATTTTTTAATATTCTTTTAAAGATAAACCTACTTATGGAATACTGAAAAAAAGAGTTTTGTATTGTTTTAGTGGCAAAAAAGAGTTTCCGCGTCAAAAATCGATGTTTTTGATAAGTTTCCATTGGAAAACCCCTCGATTGTTTATGCTTTGATATTTTGATATGTTTTGAAGCAAACGGCTCGACTTGGTGTATTTGTACACGATGATTCAGTTGAAACAAATTGAGAACGCAGTGATTTCGAAAGCAATTTCCTTGTATATCCGAAAATTGGTGGTTCGTGATGTGCAAAACGGTGAATCGCACCGGTCTGCCGCTAGGAAGCACAGTATCAGCAAGGCAGCGATTGGGAAAATTCTTCTGAAATTTAAAACGTTCGGATCATGCGCGAAGCCAAGAAGAACCCGAAGGTAACTGTCTGCGAGATTCAGGAAAGCCTTCAGCTATCAGTTTCCGGTCGAAATGTTCGTCGCCGTCTCGTAGCGCAGGGGTTGAATAGCAAAGTTACAAGGAAGCGCCCATTTATCAGCAAGACAAACAAAGCCAAACGACTTAAGTTTGCAAAGGAGCATGCTGATAAACCGCTAGAGTTCTGGAAAACGGTTCTATGGACGGACGAATCAAAATTCGAGCTGTTTAACCGAAAGCGGCGGGTTCGTGTGTGGTGCAGATCGGATGAGGAGCTTCAGGAGCGCACGGTGAAGCATGAAAACAGAGACAAACAGACGTAACTCTTTGAAAAAGTTTTTCTTGAAAACATAGTATCTAAAAACATAGGACCTCAGTAGCGACATCTTTCAGGCTTCTCGCGGAAAACAAGCTTGCTCGCTAATAGTACGTTCAGACTACAGCGTTATAACATGTTATAGCGCTATCTTGATGGTGGTTTCTGTGTTGCAATTATTTGACAACCGTTATAACATGTTATAACTCTCCAGTCTGGACAGCGTTTAACTCGCAAACAATATTGCATAAAAGTTCTATAGAATGTATAGAAACGTCAAAGTGATCCGATGTCAGCGCTGCGGCGAGTAGTTCGCGGAACTGATAATATTCAAATCAACCGTTATATGCGTGAACGAAGATACACAATAAAGAGTTACGTCTGTTTGTCTGTGATCTGGAGGTGTGAAGTGAGAAACCTCGTGAAAATCGACGGGATAATGACGGCAGATTCCTGCATCAACATCCTGCAGGAAAATCTAAAGGTATCGCTGATCTAGACGGGCCTTGAAGAGAAGTTCGTATTGCAGTAGGACAACGACCCGAAGCAAACTGCCAAGAAGACCAAGTCTTTCTTCCGGTCTTGTTGGATCAAACCGCTGGAATGGCCTTCACAAAGCCCGGACCTCAACCCCATCGAGAATTTTTGGGCGATTCTCGATGCCAGGCTTGACAAAACTGGTGTTAACATTAAAAATAATCATCTCTCTTTACCAAACTCCCACGTTGGAGAGTGATGGTGAGGGGTATCCCCATAGAGGTAACTCTAAGACCAGAAGATCCCGAAAAAACGTGCTCAACTTTTTGGCTCAGTTCTGGTACTCTCTTCGGTCCCAAGCTAATCGATGCACCCCTCGAAACATTGGAAAATCCACGAACCCCTCATTTTATCTGTCAAACTTTCATAGCGAATCAAAAAAACATAGTGTAGTACTAGAATTTCGACTACAATGGGGTACGTTAATCGATTTGCTTGGGACCAATAGGCTAGTCAAGTAGTGAGCCAATTTAAAATCGTTAGCTTCCACCGTTTGCTGCAAAATTCCCATCCAGGGTTCACTGTGCAACGACTTTGCTTCGACAACTTAGTATGCGTTCTACTCAAGAAACGATTTGAATATAATTGAACTCAAAGTGGGCACTGTTAACCGGCAGGATTTGCCGATCCACTTGGAAGCAGATGTCATCTTAGGTTATGTTCCATTTGGAAATTTTTCACTTAAATTTGACACTTCGAAAATAAGAACATCTCGAAGACCCTCAAGTATCTCGAAGCCTCAAGCAAGAAAATGTCCGATGTGAAACTCTGAAACGCCATCCTGCAGCTGAAGAATCACATCACGAGGCAGCCAATTGAAAACCTGGAAAATCGGTGAAATCCGATTACTGGCAGTGAGAAGATTATTGAGTCCTTGGTAAGCGATGTGTCCAAGCTCAAACCGGACCAATTCAAAGCTCTCCTTTTTGTCTGTGGACTCAAATCGACTGATCTCGAAGCTGGAAGTCGACGAAACCGCAGTCAACGAATTGGGAGAAGCCGCCAGCAAGGTAACCCTGGAGAACCTCGTGGAAGAATCAACTTTGTATCTCGCAACCAGAATAATCCTCCTTCTAAGAAGAACTAAAAATTGCCGAAAATGCCATGTTGGAAGTGTGGCGACCAGCACTATGTTCGTGAATGTCCGTTCGCTTCGCATACCTGTTCCAGATGCAAGTAAAAAAGACACAAGGAAGGGTACTATTCCAGCAACAAACCGGCGCCTTCGAATGGTGCAGCAGTAAAACTTCAACACGACTCAGCGTCCGACATCACCATCATCTCAGAAGAGACATGGGCCAGTATCGGACAACCACCCACTCAACCGACGGAAGAATCTGCATTCACAGCTTCTGGTGGCAACCTCAACCTTCTCGCGGAGTTCCAGACTGAGATCACCATCGGAAATGTCGTTCACCATCGTTCCTATCAGTTCACCCACCAATCAACTCAAGCAACAGTTTCCAGAGGTATTCCGAAGCACGCTGGGTAGCTACCATAAATCGGACTAGTTCATGTTGATCTTCGTCAAGCTTCGTCTACAATTTGGACTTCTACACCAACACATGTCAAGCAGCCTTCAGGTTCAATTGGCTAAACTTGGTGAGTTCGTTCCATTTTGTAAATTTTTATCTTTTCAAACCAGTAACGTTGGGAGATCACCTTTTTGTGGTGCGTTACTGGTATAAGAACCCTAGTCGTGACAACTTCAAACTAGGGAATCAGGATTTTCCAGTAATCAAAGGATCACATTTTAGTTCTTGTTATTTTCAATGACTTGATAATAGTAACATGACTCGGGTAGTGACCACCGCGCCGTTATGCATTTCTATATTGTATATTTCAAATCAAAAATATTGTTTATGTTCATAGATTTCACATAATCCTTTTCCCTTTGTCCTTCTCCTTTTCCTTTCCCTCTTCTCTTTTCAGAAAGCGGGTAATGGCGCTATAGCCATAAGTCATAAAAGGCTTGGACAAGAGTTAGTGCTCATGCCCCAACCGTCAGAAGAAAATGGAGCATCACTTAACCTTTCTAGCTTTGATGCTTCCAAACGACCAACCAATCATATAATTACCAAAATCGGAACGTACGGTACGAGATGTCCACGTTTCATCCATTTATTGGATTCTGAAGCATCGTGTTTAAATTTATTTAAATGATTGTGATTTAAACAGGCCCGATGTTTTCTGAATCATCTTGCCCCTTAAATGTTGCACAGTAGGCCTGGCCGTTTTGATATGTGTGACGCATCTTCGATGTGAAACATATATCAAATAGACGAGAAAAATGTTGTAGGTATATATATCATTTTCCAGGATCAGAGTTGCGACCTAACACAATCACGATCGCCAAACAGCTGATGGTAGTAATGCTTTGTACATTCCTATCAATGTGCTCGTCGAAGCTCTCTCCATGACCATCCATCAAGTTGACGAAAGAAGTAAAAAGCAACTGGTGAATGTCGTCTTCGGTTGTGATCCATCACCGATCTGGTCATTCCCGACAATCACGACACTCATCTGTGCTCGTTTTGAAGTAATTGCTGCTTTGCTTGCTTATGTTAGTGTGTTGGTGAGTGAGCCCAACAGCTTCCGTTTCATGTTGCCTGCTTTGTTTGTAACTCACACAGTCGCGCCTGCTGAGACGAACTTGGAATGCGTAGGCATTGTTTTCATTTTCTTCTGTCGTTTCGCTTTTTCTCATGATCGTACTGCAGGAGTCTTCACTGTTTTCGTTGTGCTTTTCATCATCAGCAGCGAGTGTAACGTTTTGCTTGTGAGCAGCGACCATTACTGGTGATTGTTGTTTGCCATGGCTCTAACTCTCACTGCGTGACAAAACGATCTGTCAGCGATAGTCGGTTGATGCGAAGACGAGTGTCACGTGAGTGTCATGATATTTTGCATCACTGTCAGGATGCTTTCAAGAACTGGCTGTGTTGGTGTTAGATAAGATAAGATAAGATAAGAAATTGGACAATTCGAAAATAAATTAAGATGTTTGAAAATCCTTCTATTGTTGATCGGCCGATTTTCAAGAAAGCGACTGTCAAAGTTGATTGCTTGTCTGTCAGAAATAAGTCTGCTGAAATAGCAGGTTTATTTGAAAATTTTCCATCTGTCAAATTTAAGTGAAAATTCACCAAATGGAACACAGCCTTAGAATTCAAGATAAGGCCTGTATAGAGATCGAAGCGAAGCGAAAATCTTAAACAAAATACTAAATTTTTCACCTGCGTGAAAAACGCAATTGGCAAATTATTCACTTCGCTTTGAACTGTAAACATATATGATCCAGCGAAATCTTGTTGTTTATAAATTTATTTGATAAGGCTCAAACGAATTAACTTTACAGAGCCGAGGATTCTTGGTCACTATACAATACATCTGTTGCCACACTTCCTGGGCACAACGATGTAGTGGAGATGACACCCAATACCGACTGTCCTACGGATATTTGACATGTGTCAGCAACAGATAAAATTTAAGCAGAAGAAATCTAACAAGGAAGAAGATCATAAAAAGATCATACAATAGCGTGAGTGAAGATGTGAAAAAATGAATTAGTTAAAATAATAAGTAAATTGATAAATAGTTAGAACAGAAGATAGTGAGCTCGAATAATTACTGTATAATTTCTTAATCTGAGAAGAAAAAGAGTATTAATTGGTACGGAAAGGTAAGAAAACGGCAATTAGAGTTAATCTAGTGCTTATAGTGTGCTGTAATTTTAGCTAATCATTGGAAAGTTGGATAACCTCAACAAAAATAAATTCTCGTTAGTCTAAGCAGCCAATACGGTAAATTAAACTACTAAAATTAGTACTCGAAGTACTAAATTGTATATCATTACAGTTAGACAGTTAGATCGATGCTCATTAAACTTGTCGAAGAAGAATTTGATGAAAACACCGAATAAGTAAGGTTACTTTGATTTCTTTCTATCGACATAAATTTAGCTAACTCTTTAATAAAATTGCAGCTTTGAAGCTGCCACAATTGGAGCTATCAAAACGGTGTTTTTACTACGTCAACAACATCTTAAAACTATAGTCAAAAGGTACAACACAATAAACACTTTATCTTCCGCTATCCAAAAAGCCTCCATCAGAACTGGAGCCGCTTGCAGTGGTTTCATTGTATGGCAGTTACGCCAACGGGGATCAGAGCGCTTCCATTGCAGCAATAGACGCAAAACGTGGACAGCATTCACACACTCATCACTAAACGGTTGCTTTCCAAAGTCAACGACGCATCGACCGAAAGAACTGCTGATGAAGAACAATGAAGAGGACCACACAATGGTTGCTGGCGAGAAAACAGACGATCGCGTGGCACACATCGAGAGTGGCCTGCTTTTGTCGACAGCCGAGTGAACACTGAAGCGGAGAAATCTTACACACCAAATTTTGATATTAAGTTCCAGCATAACGAATTGCTGGATGATGTCCAGCAAAATCATGTTTTACTGGAAAATCAGTAATTTGAAATATGTTGCTGGATGTTCACGTAATTTGTATCAAATGTCAAATTCAGACCTGTCTTCGCAGTTTGGTTGGTAAATTACTGGTTCGCGGTTTTGAATATTTTGCAGTCTAAGAAGCGAAGGATGACGTTAATTTTGCTGGAATCGTGGAGTAAGTATTCTATACTTTGTCGACGTACTTGAAAAGTTCATTTCTTTTCATCTTTACAGTCCTCTCACCTAAAAACTCACCCAGGGAGGCCCATCAAAAGTTCCTCAACAAGAGTTTATTTACTCCTTTGACTCAAAATTGTAGTCGATTTGATGTAATCGGTGCATATGTAGTAAAATTTGTTTTTTTAAACTATTAAAACATATGTATAAACAATCTAAAATTGCTATCCTTGCAACACTTTGCTGGATGGATTGCTGGACTTTCACCTCGGCAAAATCCAGCAAGATATTGCTGGTTTTCAGCGATAAAACATGGGTGTGCACGTTTACTTTTTTCACGCATGCAGAGCAGCAGCTAAGCGAAAAGTTGACGTTTCAAGAAAGAGCATATCTGTCAGATTTTCACTTCACCGGAGGTGTAAACTGATCTATTTTGTTTCACAAGAACTGTAAACTGCGAAAAATGGAAACTGGAAAATTTCACTTTTTAAGATATCTTCGAGCATGATAGTCAACCTTTGGTAAGATTTGCTATGAAAGTTGTTACAGCAGTTTTCGCTGTTTCAGTTTCGAGATACAAATATTATAAGCCGTAAATTACCTTAAAACATAAAATTAACTAACTAGTGTTCACTCGGCTGTCGACAAAAGCAGGCCACTCTCGATGTGTGCCACGCGATCGTCTGTTTTCTCGGCAGCAACCATTGTGTGGTCCTCCTCATTGTTCTTCATCAGCAGTTCTTTCGGTCGATGCGTCGTCGACTTTGGAAAGCAACCATTTCGTGATGAGTGTGTGAGTGCTGACCACGTTTTGCGTCCATTGCTGCAATGGACGCGCTCTGACCCTCGTTGGTGTACAACAATTTGCCATACAATGAAACTACTGGAAGCGGCTCCAGTTCTGATGGAGGAGGCTTTTTGGATAGCGGAAGATAAAGTGTTTATTATGTTGTACCTTTTGACTATAGTTTTAAGATGTATTGTATAGTGACCAAGAATCCTCGGCTCTGTAAAGTTAATTCGGTTGAGCCTTATCAAATAAATTAATGAACAAAAAAAAAATAAAATTAACTTGAAGCCAGGCTTGCAATTGCTCATTATAGCTAAAATGCTATTTTTCGGTATTATGAAACAATGGGATACTATAATCATAATTTTTATTTGTAAAATGCAAGAAGAGGTGGTAAAGTTTGTATATGACACATAAAATGTGTCAATTTTGCTTTCAGAAGTCATAATTAGCGATTAGCTGTAACGATGAGTAACGCGATGAGCGAGCAATCAGCGATCATAAAATCGCTAGTTGTGACCTTCTGAAAGCAAATTTGACAAATTATATGTGTCATATACAAACTTTACCACCTCTTCTTGCATTTTACAAATAAAAATTATCATTATAGTATCCCATTGTTTCATAATACCGAAAAATAGCATTTTAGCTCTAATGAGCAATTGCAAGCCTGCTTGAAGCACCTCTAAATCATCACCGATTTCGCTAAAAATTTGCACAGAAGTTCAAATTAACATGACGAACAGTAATCACGGTTGACCCGGTGCATCCCGAACATTTCTGTTAAAATGAACAGGTCTAATCGACATGAATCCGATCGACGTTGTTCGTTTGTCAACTTATCATTCTTATTCATCAGTTTTGGAATAGCGTGTACATTCCACACTGGACCCTATACATCGAACCCATGTATTGATTGATGGGCCGGGACCCAAAAGACTTTACTTTTTTTCCGAAGAAATATGGGTCCAGAGATTTTTTGTATCAGTATATCTCATCGATCAGAGAAATGAGTTACGCGTATCACTCAAGTTTCTTTAATTTTCTACGCCGGGGGATGGGGAGGAGTTTAATACCTCTCAAAAACTGTCTACGTAATTTATGAACAGCCTCCAACAAGTTTCACAATCATTAAAGCCGATTTTATACGCGATCACAAAATTCATACTCAGTTCCTTGTTTAAGTGCTACCCCATAAACATCAATTAAAATGAACTAACCGTGTGATCCGCACGGCGGCGTTATTTTTAGCAAATGTTAAAAATATGTGTGTGCGTTCTCATGTCAATTATTAAAAAACCCGAAGCCGTTGGTAGCTGCTGTCGGGTTGCTTTCGGTACCTTCACCGGCTTCACCGCAACTTTCTTAATGGGGAGCGTGCATATTTCTGTCATTGAACATCAATTTAGCAAATTGTGAATTTATAAAACCGGGTGACTCCACTCGCATTCGCATTCAAGGGGTAATCAATCATTGCAAGTTTGTGCGCGAAAGAAAACATATACAACTTTATTAATACATAGGGTAAGGTGGGGCACGATGGATCAGCTAGTACAGTTCTTAATTTATTTGTTTCTTAAAATCAGCGGGTTCAATGCGAACCCAATGATGATTTTTCAAACCAGCATTGAACCTGTTGATCAAGACAATAAATAGTAAATAAATCCAGAAGATGACCCATCTTGCCCCACCTTTCCCTACAACAAGCAAAGAAAAGTCACGAGGTGCGGCACACTTGGGTTGGGGCTCGAATAGATGCGCAAACAGTACATATTTTGATTTTGAAGAAGAAGGAAAAGGCCACGCGGGCTTGGTTTTGTTTACAATATGCAACGATGTTTACTTTTTTTTATTATATTAATCCAACGAGACCCCATCGCCAAATTCAGCAGAAACAATAAAAATTGAGCAAGTAGGCTACTACGTGAATAATGACATTCAAGCCCAAGGGGTGCGCACATGCATAATAATGTGGGTAAATGGCGTTCGTAAACTCACCTGTTTTATGGTGGTACTGATGGGATCCGATTTTATTCGTCAACACGCTTCCTTCGAGCGAGGTCATCGATATTTCATTATCAATATCGACCGGCCCCGTGGAGGCGACCGTGCCCTGGATGATGACGACATTCTTGGTTTCGGTGGGGCTGTCCTTTTCGGCAGAACCGGACCCATCAACCCTCGTGTAGACGTCGTTGTCTTCCGCTTTGTGTTGACGCTGATCACGCTGGTCGTACTTTTTGCAGATGTCATTTACGTTCAGTCCATCCAAGCGCTGGAAGAGATTATCCATCGATCGGCTACCAGCGTGGTGATCGTCAACGGTTCGACATTCTCGGTTCACATCATCCCAAGCACAGTAGGGATCCTGTAGCTCTAGGCATTTGCGGCAAGATTTGAACTCGTGTTCGTTGCAATTACTGAGTGGCAGCGAAATTATCTTCCCATTGCTAATAACAATCAACTTTTTGTTCTTCTTGGAAATGGTCAATGCGTTCACCTTGGTACCTATTGGGAATGCTTGAGTTTCGCTGATTATAACGGTTTTGACCTCATCCGTCGAGTTGGACGACAATATGTTAACGAATTTTATGACCTTTCCGTCGTTGGTGCCAACAAAAATTACATCGTACGTTTTGCCGTCCAACGCTTTCACCTGAGGATCAACAGTGATCGCCGAAAGGCGGTACAGAAGGCTAACTCGCGTGAAAATGGGTCGGGAATGTAATGATCGCACCGATGCGTCCATCAAAGTATTCATCTTCACAAAATTCACTGAAGCCTTCGGCAGTGTCCGGCTATCATCAACGCACTTTCCCGGACGAGGATCCGGCACTTGGTTCTGGGGAACTTGAAGCCAATTCGAGTGAATATCTCGCTGCGATTTGAACGACCCCTCGAAGGTATCCAAAATGTCTTGAATGGAGAAAGCACACACGGCCGAACCACCGATGGCGTTGTCCGGCGTGGTCATGATCGCGTAGATGATCTGATTCGTATCGCCACCGTAGATGCCATTGATCGTTTTAGTAGTAGATTCTGTCGGAGGAAAAGTAAATCGTTATTGACCCGGTTGACAAGCGCGGATGATCGTTGAATACTTACGGATTTCATCGAAATAGAACGGATATTCGCCCGGTATGGAACAGTTTAGTCTGGCTTTCAAGAATGACGTCCAGCGGTCATTCAATGGATGTGGTCCACCTTTATCGTTTTTGCAGACACGGCTAACGCGAGAATAAATTGCTTTGCCACAGTTCATATACTCGACGGCCACTTCCCGGAAGAAAAACAGCACATATCCATTGTGCTCTACGGCACTCACAAAGGCCGGCTGATTGAGCTGCTTGCTATCGTACTGCTCGGTTCGCTGTGGTTCTCGGTATATTAGGGGATCTGCTGCCGAGAAATCCGCTACCGTGGCCGAGTACAGATGGCCGTCTGGTCAAGAAGAAAACAAAACGACAAAACGGTCAAAGAAATGGAACAGAATAAATCAAACGTTCAATTGGCTTACCGGTAAACAAATAAGTGCTATTATGCAGAGGATTATACGGACATCGTCCAAGGGCTTCCATCTCATTGTTATCGTACGCAATTGCACTATCGCTCGGCAGTATGTTGTAGAACCGGCAAAGTGGCTTGTACGAATTTGTCCCGCAAAGCATAATCCTGTTAGCGCCTACCCGCGCGTACACCCGAATGTAGTTTTGGCAGTCCTGATCCAGCTTGCCCTTGAGCGTACAAAGCTCCCGGTGGGCATCCGACGAGGGCCACGTGATCCGTTGGGTCGGATGTTCAATCAACCGATCCAGGCTAATGTTGTACAGCGCATTCCGCGCTCCTATCAGTATCGAGTTGTCATCTTGATCTAGCAACTTAAAGTAATCAGTGCTGTTGCCGAAAAAGGCTGGTATTGTGTTATCTGTGAAAGCAGAGGAGGGGAAGAAACAAAGTAAAACATGGATGAGAAAATGGTTAAAAGGTTATAGGGTTTTAAAATTCAAATTCAATCAATCAGCACACGGGCGCGTGATTGGATGGAATTGATTGGGGGAGAGAAGAAGAGTTTGATCAACAGGGTCAAATTTTTATGTGTGATGGAGATGACTTTTCGGTGACGAATGATATTCATTTGGCTCGACTTGTAGTTTACGGACGAGATGGGAGATATGTTGATGTTATAGTAAAATACAGATTCACCTTTTAACCAACTGGATGGATTAGAATTTATGACAATTTCTGCAATATATACATATTGTTAACGCTGGATTTGGCGTAAATTTACGCAATATTTCATATACATTCAAGCACAACTTGAAACCTTATAAGCAGTTCCACGCCAACTGACAAATCGATTTTATTTTTACCCATCCGAATTCCATTAAATTTCGCATAATAGTTCACTAGACGCAATGAACCAAGTTTGTGTCGCAATACGACCTTTTAGACTCACGTCTAATTTTTCAAAATGGCGTATACGATATTTTTCAATAAATCATAGCACGAAAATGGTTTATCTAATCGAATGACGTCTGAGCTAAAAATGTAGAAAAGTGGATTGCCTTCTCAGAAAAAAAGTAGAAGGGTATGTGCCTAGGGGCACGAACGGAAGCTTGACGTAGGACCGCTAGTGGACGGAACAAATGTGAATATATAGTTCTTTTAATTGATCAATCATCAATTATCTTAACTCTTTCCGTTATTTTATTTGTAAGCATATCAAATTTGTAGCATTTATTTCAAAAAGAAAGTTGATGAAGAGAATCTAAGGAACTGTCAACTTGAGTATTTTCGATTCATCTACCCCGACTTTAAAAGGTGCATTTGGATTTTTTGTTATTTATGAATTTTTAAGTTTTGTGCATTTTGGTATTAAAGTGTATTCAATTCACCCCTCACAGGATTTCCTTCCGAATTATATGAATGGGGCGGGGCGGAAAGTATCGTTTGTGCAGAATATGTAAAAAAGGAGGGACTTCGAGAGATTGAACTGAGAGCTATGAGAGCTAATTTTCTCACAAATTTGATTTTATTGGCTTTCTGGGGACTGAATATACACCCAAAGCGAATTATTCCCACTTCTCTCAAATTCTATATGGATTTTTAACACTTCATACCAGGGTTGCTTCCACTCACTTGCTATAAAAAAATGTTCTAAAAATTCTATAATCCACATTAAATTTCATATGTAAGCGCCGATTGAAACAACCTTTTCGACGTCACTACAAGGGTGATTGAGTAAACGAAAAACACGAACCGTGCGGAATGAAAGCCGAGGAAAAACTATTTGCACCAATATATTCAGGCCTACAATTCCACACCTTCTATAAACAGGTTGCGCCTTGATAGCTAGCTGCTTGCGGGAACTGATGACCTTGACCAATGTCCAAATAATACTCTTTAACAAATTTTGGTGGCCCTGAAAAGGACCGTTTTGTAGTGATGGTTGAGTAATTCTGAGCTAGGTGTTCAACACGGATGAGGCTGTCGAGCTGTATGTTGTTCAGAGCAAAGGTGACACGCTTGGCATAGATGACCGACCCACAGCGACTCACGAAGAGCTACTGATTCCGATACATAGCATAGCGGTGCAGCTTCTTCCTCCTTTGATGGTTGCTTATGTGGGCTCTGCAACTCGCTGCTTGCAGGCAGCCTTTCGTTGTTACTGGAGAACAAATTTTAACGCCACACGCCGAAAGCACTGCTACTGCTGCTACTAATTTCGACGACCGAACACCACCACACAGTGGTGTGGTCGTTGGGAGCGTGTGGTTTTGAGTATGGCGATGAGTGTGCAAAATATTACGCAATTCCATCCTCCCTATTCGCACGCGCCCGAGGATCGAATGCCACTTCGACTTGTTTCGTCTACTTACTACTCTCTGACGACTGTGCTGGGGAAGCAGCATATGCATGTAGGTAATTGGTGGATTTATTAGTTAATTCAACGCTTTTGGACAATGCTGGACATTTACCAGTTTTTCAATAGTTTCTTGTTGAAAATCAACATTCGGAAGCATTGTTATCGATGCGTAGCCATATTTCTGATCGATTGGTGATAAAATTATTTAAATTGGACCAGGGGCAGCTGAGTTATTAACTTTCAAAATCTTTCTTAATTTGTTACATGTTCCATTTTCGGTTTTCACAAAGTGTACCCCCATATAGAAATCAAAGACGTAGTCCTACGTCAAAATAAACACTGAAAAACATCTTAAAATTTAGCTAATATTAAAAAAAAATGTTAAAATTCAATAACAAAAGAAAACATTTAAAAAAAATTTAAGCATATGTTTATGCGACGTTTCATGGAATTCATAGAGGGAAAAAATAATATAGATTCGTCAGTCTCTATAATAAGGAAAACTAAACTAAATCCACATGTGCAGCGAGCATTTCTAACTGGGAAAATGGTTTTGCAATATTGAAATGATTAAATGCTTCCTAAACCTAGCAGAAATGCTCTTTTACTGAGTAGCTACTCAGATTTACTATCCTGCCCGTTTTTTTAGTCAGAGGAGTGGAACGACGGGCAAGCTTCCAGAGTTCTAAAGAAAAAGGTGCTAAATAAGATTCTAGAAGAAGGTTCATTCAAAAGCTTCTTTTGGAAGCTCATTCTAGACGTTTGCCCATCGTTCCGCTACTCTGATTATAAAAAAAAACTGACATGACAGTAAGTCTGAGCAACTACACAGTAGAAGCATAGAGGTAACTCTAAGACTAGTAGGTCCCGAAGAAACGTGCTCAACTTTTTCTTAACATAGGAAAATCCACTAACCCCTCATTTTATCTGTCAAACTTTCATAGCGAATCAAAACAAACATTGCGTAGTACTAGAATTTCGACTAGAATGGGGTACGTTAATCGTTTGCTTGGAACCAATAGGCTAGTCAAGTAGTGAGCCAATTTAAAATCGTTAGTTTCGTATTGATTGTTGGTAGAAGAGCATGTTTCGAAGGTTTATGGAGTATTTCATCGATTCATTAATTACGTTTCCTTAGTTGACTTTCTCACTTCATAAATGCCAATGCAATAACAGATGTTCGCATAAATGTAAATCTACTACATATTATCTAATCTAATTTATCCCTCCGCAGTAGTTAGTGCAATGTGTACCTATTAGAGATGGGCGATCCACTTCCGAGCTATTCTAAAAATCTGATTCACTAACGTGAGCTGATGACCCCCGGTTCATATTTTAGGAACTCACTGCTATAACAGCTCACTGATATCGCAAGCCTAATCTTTTCAATCCGTCACTTACATAAAGCGGAATTTTTCTAAAAAGGACTCCGCTTATGCATTGAACAGCCACCGTAATCCAGCTTTCCATGCTCGGTAATGGCGGCCTATTTGTATGAATAAATGTATCCTTCACTGTGCTTTTTGACACTAACTGGAGGGCGTATTTTCTTCTGTTCCTGGGATAGTGATAGGGAGGGGTCAAAATCCGAATATCCAGATAGCGTCAAAAAAGCACAGCGAAGGATACATTTATTCATACAAACAAGCCGCCATTACCGAGCATGGACAGCTGGATACAACATATCCGGTGAACTTGGAGATTTGGGCGTAATTGCTTTTGTAAACAAACACGTCAATCGCTGATTACTCGCGAATAAAAGTTCAATCTAGCAAACAAACTATACCAAATGATAGAGGAGTTGTTAGTATTCGATATAGGCGAATCCAATGGAAATTAAGCAATTGTTGCAGCCTCTGGTGGTGAATAAGAGAACCATCATAAGAGTGGGCTGAAATTTTCGCCGTGAAGCATAGGAAGAGGCAAATGTTTTTCCCTTTTCTGATTAATTTATCCATCGCAGGTGCTTGTAATCATCATCCACATGGAATATTTTGTTTTCTGTATCGATTTAGGAGTGAACCGACCTGTGCTTCCACATATTTTTGTTAAGAAAAGTGAAGATTTATAAAACTACCCAAGCGGTTATGATCTTCCAGATTTTTAATGTGGTGTTATTTGAGCTGTAAATCCGTTCAAATATGTGAACAATAATAAAACAAGACCCCTCCCGATGTAAATATGTAAGATGCGCTCAACAATATGCGTTAATTTGAGATGTATAAATTGTAATTTGGATGTAAACAAACGGTTTGGTTGACGTTTCCTCTCATAATCGCTCGTCGTGGGTTAATAAAGAAAACTAACTAATCCAACTCTCATAATCGCCTAGCGTACTCTACATTGGTGGTGCATAGAAACAGCCTATTGAGCTTTAATTCGCGAGAAATAAGTGATTGACGTGTTTGTTTACAAAAGCAATTACGCCCTAATCTCGAAGTTCTCCGGATATGCCTACTGATCGATAGAATCAACGGTAAAAGTAAACTTACAAGTGGATGTATGGGAGAGTGATATCTGTGCATGTGTTACACGATATTGTATTTAGGAAGACAAAAGTATTAGCACCCAAATCATCTGTTTTAGATTTATAGCAACCGGCGGAAACTAACGATTTTAAATTGGCTCACTACTTGACTAGCCTATTGGTCCCAAGCAAATCGATTAACGTACCCAATTCTAGTCAAAATTCTAGTACTACTCTACGTTTGTTTTGATCCGCAATGAAAGTTTGACAGATAAAATGAGGGGTTCATTGATTTTCCTATGTTTCGAGGGGTGCATCGATTAGCTTGGGACCGAAAATAGTACCAGAGCTGAGTCAAAAAGTAGAGCATGTTTCTACGGGACCTTCTGGTCTTAGAGTGGTTCATAAAATTGATGAATTAAAAATACAAACTTTTTTTGATTATTTGAGACCGACCAATGTAATGTTCTTAAAAGCTGTAGAACAAATAATTTGAAGCAACTTTGCTCAAGACATCAAATTTCTATCTCTAATGGTTTATGAGTTATGATTATTTAAACAAGCCGGTTAGGGTAGCCGCTAGAAAATCAGA